GTCTCCCATGGGAGGGACTCCACGCTGGAATGTGGGAAGAGTGTGAGGAGTCCTCCTCTGAAGAGGAAGGAGTGGCAGAGACAACGTGTGGTGAACTGACTGCAACCCCCATTCCCTGTCGCCCTGTGCTGCTGGAGGGGAGGAGGTAGAGAAAATTTGGAGCAGAGTTAAGCCCAGGAAGAAGGGACAGCTGGGGGGAAGGTGTTTTAAGATTTGGTTTTATTTCTCATTATCCTGCTCTGATCTGATTAGTAATAAATTAAATTAATTTTTCCTCAAGTCGAGTCTGTTTTGCCCGTGACAGTAATCTGTGAGTGATCTCTCCCTGACCTTATCTCAACCCACGAGCCTTTCGTTATATTTTCTCTCCCCTGTCGAGCTGAGGAGGGGAGTGATAGAGTGGCTTTGGTGGGCACCTGGGGTCCAGCCAGGGTCAACTCACCACAAGGATCTTCAGCCAACACAGGAGATTTCACTACTCTACATTTTGGAGATTACTACATAAACTGTGCCTAAGAGATTTAAATTTAGGATTTCCTAAATAGTGGCTTCCCTGGTTACTGAGAAGAGATGCTATTAATCAGGTTAGGTCCAGCGCCTTGCCAGCTTTCACAAGTCTAGCACATGCTGAACAGTGTCGTCAGTAAGATATCATACATCTTTTTAATTAAAAAATCGATCCTGAGGTTATGCTGCCAAAAAAATTAAAATGCTGCACATTATTTCTTATGTAAAAATTAATCTAAGAAACTATTTAATGAAGAGGTCATATTTTGAGACACGGGTTGTGGCTGCCTCACCAGTCACTGAATGTGCATGCATGTGCTCTGATTTGGAAACAGCAGTTAATCAGCATGGCACGCAGCGCTATGCTTGCTGCTGTCCTCTGCAGCAATGTTAGCAAGCAAGAAAAGAATGAAAGAGAAATATGTTGGGTTTTGTAGCCAATGAAATAAAGGTCAAGCAAATTTTTAAGCAGCAGCTTTTTTTTAACCTATCTCTTTGTGCTCCTGACAACTCAGCACCTGGAATAGTCACGCCTGAAGTTTGAGGAAGTTTCCTTTCCTGCTATGGCACAATTCCAAATGTCACAGAAACATTATAAAGTGTACTGTATTTTGGAGAAACATTGCATTATACTGCAGTAAATTTAGATTCACTGCAGACTCACTCTCTGTAGTATCTTTCTCTTTCTGGTGAACACCCTTCCCCCTGAAACACACACAAACATATATTTTTGCTCACACCACCCATCTTCTGTGTCTGTACAATGAGCTAATGCAACCTCCCCTCCAGAAAAGGACTGTTGGTTAGGTCTGTGCTTTGCATTGAAGCCTGGTGAGTGTCGCCCCAGGTCACACCTAGTGAAACTGCCAAAGAGAAACATCAAAATTGACACCTTCCCTTCAAGCTTCCCAGCCTGAGTACCTTTCCTAAATCTGCTTCGACCTCTTCTTGTCAGGAACTGCTGCCTGACTCCCCAGGCAACCACTTCTCCTGCTAATCTAATTTTTAATCAGTCATTGAACTCTGTCTTATCATCTTGAACTCATAAAGCAATATGGCTTTGCTATTATTAGTGATTCCTTTGAGCTTGCATGATGGCCCTTGATCCAGCACCAGACTTTAATTTATTGCGTGTCTGGGGTTTGCAAAGTGCAGTAGAAGGTTACAGTGAGCAGAGCAGAGTAGTTGATATTAAGTTCGTGATGAAGAAGCTAGTAATTCCTTAAGTCAGAAGACTTTAGACAAACTATTTTACTGAGTCTTGACTAGCACAGATCTAGCCATCATACTTTTCTGAAAGATCCAATTTCTTTCACTCTCTAAGCCCACACTTTGCACTCATGGCTTCCCACTTGCTTTGTAGCTAACACTCCTGTAACTTGAGTTGGGGGGATGACTGTGGATGTCTCTGGTACAGTAATGCAGAGGCTTTTGGTTGAGAAGATGCTCTTCCTTAATAGGATCTTAATTGTTAAGTGGTTTTTTCCCTGTATAATGTGTGAATGCTTCTGTGGAGTGGAGTTTCATTCCAACATCTAGGAAATTCTTCTCCAAATAAAATTAGGCCAGAGAATATCAAACATATACTGTTTCTTAAACATTATTCCACATTTGCCACCAGTGAATTTGGACATATAAATATGATATTTGACACACACATTTGTGAAAAATCTTCCTGAACATACCTGTAAGCTTTCCTTTGCATCAAAACATTAGCGATGCTAATTAAAGACATGCCACAGCTTACTTGGACTCTGTAGTACCTGGATCTACTGTTAAATTGTTAAGCAGAAGGGTTACAGTAGTCTGTCGATCCACAGAGTTTAAAATGCATCACTGAGGACCAGAAATGATCTGCAAACACTCCTCACTCCAGCTCACAGAGCAGGGCAACCAGTTCAAGATGAACCAGACACTACTCCATTTCAGGGAGCACATGACAGCTCTCGCTCTGGCATGCATCCCTCCATAACTACATCACTGTATTATTTGAATTAACCACAAGAATCCCCAGTCTGACATTGGGAAGGTCATGTCATCAGCATGGTCTCTGTTTATAGTAGACAGATTGTTTACTTATTTACCCTTATATTGCAGCTTTTGTACAAATAAATCTCAAAGTTAAAAATGAGATAATGAAGGACATAAAAGGAACACTGTGTCTGTCTCTGAGGTTAAAGATCAGCCTGAAACAGTCCTCTAAACACAAATTTGCCACAGTTACAGGACTTTTCAAATTGGCTTCCTTTTGCGACTTCTTAATGCAAATCAGTCCTATTTTTACAAAATACTTAAGAATTGGTTGAATCAAAGATGAAACATGTAAGAATAGCTAACTATCTGGTGGTTAGAGATGTTCTTGAGGCAGGACGCTCCGAATAATTATATGCCAAGCAAAATAACATTAATGTGAGACATGGCATCAACACAGGGCACGCATCCTACGACACTTCCACAGGTCATAGATGTGGACACTCTAAGAAAAGGTAAGATGTAGTTTCAGACCCACTCAAGTAGCTGAGGAAACTGAACGAGGCTGGTTGTCTGGCTTTTTCACTGACTTCGTGAATTACAGAGAGATGGAAAGTCCACCATCTTCCCAAGTTTTGTGAATAAAGCTGGTAAATTAAACTGTCTAGCTAACTTGTCCTCATTTAAATAAGTTTTAAGATGACTGAATCTATAGCTACAGTAGAAACTGTTGAAGCAGAAACCTTTCCCAAGCTGATATTGGTGATTCTGATATAATAAACCCCAGTCCTTTCTGTTTCTCCCTTCTGTCTCCATGATTTTTCTCCCATTTTTTGTCATTCCAAACCTAACAGCAGTCTTCTTTTTAAAACTTACATCTGTTAAATCCTTCCAAAAGGAAGTTGTTCCTATTTGGCAATCATTTCTAAAGAGTATTTTTTTCTTCTTTTAACACTAATAAGAAAGGACAGGGACCCTAAGGTTAGTGTATACTAATGAGATGAATCAGGAGATATGACTGAAATGAGACCCAGTGTGACACAGCTGCCTCCAAAAAAAACCTATCACTTGAGCAAAACACACTGGGACAATCTAGTATCTCAATTTCCAGTGCTGTTACCATGGTTTCTATACAAGGACTGGAGAGCATTACAAGTATATTCTTTGTGATTATGAATAAAAGGAATATTTGAAATAGGATAATAAAATCATGGGTGACCTGTCAGAGACCATTGTGACAGCTACTAGTGACTACTTACATTTGCCTGTGAAACAAGCTAAATAGACAAAAAGTAAATCAATATATTCTAAATACACTGCCTAGCTGTTGGGTTTCCCCTGCCTTCCTGTTCTATTTTACTGGGGTATAAAAATGATATGGAGAAACAGGAGAGTAGCACAGTTAATACAAACCATTTCACTGTTCTTGAGAACTGCAAAGACAGCCTGGCAGTCCAGTGTCGGGTCACGCTGTATGTTTTGTTCAACAGAATGGCCTCAGCTCTGTTGTTTTAATCACTGCTGAAACTCAGATTCAGCAAGATGCATGATATTAGTCATGGCTGACATAGTGAATTTATTTACTGAGCTTTACACTATCGGAGTTTGGAAGTAGGTTGGAAAGATCCTGAAGCTAAACGTGAATCATAATTTCAGTTCCAAGCTTTATGCAAATATGCTTGACTCAATTCATCTATGTCATGAAATTCTATCAAGTCATTAAAAATCTTTGCATGTAGAGGCCATGAGGTAAAGTTCTTATGTCTTTGGGTATACTAGACCACAATAAACTCAATTTTCAAGATTAGACATGTTAGTCCTCATCAAACTAATTGAAATACCTATTTTACATGTGGAAAGTAACAAGACTTTCAATTTGACATGTAAAAGCCAAGTAACTGATTTGAATACACACGTCCACATGAAGGACATAAGGATATACCATGGCTGGTTGTACATAACCTGAGCACTTGAAAACTCCCCATATATTTTGTCATTACAATAATTCAAATGCAATTAAAAAATAATCTGATTTTGAAAAGCTGGCCTGTAGATAACAGCTCACAGCAGACAAGCTAGTCTAGTGATTCACTGCTACTGAAAGGGGTCCTTCTGCCTATGACTTTCTTCTTCCATTTCCACCCATTTCCCTGAGCTGACTCCAGGGGAGTCTACCCCTAGAGATGATTAAACTTGTTGATCTGTGCAGAAAATTATGCAATTTTCTTTTTTTCTGGATTAGTTCTCTGTGGGCTTATTGAGCTGAGCTCAGCACTTGATCATGAAGTAAATGCAGCATCTGAGAGAAGGTAAATGGAGAAGACGACGAAAGGGACAAGGTAGAACCTCATTCTTTGATGGTGGTAAGCTACCACATTTTCAGAGGGAACTGCACTCAGTGTGATTTTTGTATGGCTTCTAGAGCATATGTTTATGGCATAACTCTCTGAAATTAGTGGGAATTCCTAAAGAAAAAAGTAGTATTGTACTTACCTTACCTTAATTTACCTTAAAGGACTTACCTTAAAGGAGATTTCATACTGCTCTCCTCCCCATATTTCTAATCCCGGGTCATAGCCTCCCAGCTGCCAAAACCACTTCCGGTTAACGGCAAATAGACCTCCAGCCATTACAGGAGACCTGAAGGATGGATAAAACAATACAAACAGTAACGAAGATGTTTGGACCATGTGTGTGCGTGCGTGCGTGCGCCTGTGTGTGTGTTTGTGTGAATGTAGCTGGTCTGGCTTCCAAAATTGCAAAGCTATGGAAGGCATAGACAAAAAGTACTGTAAACAAACAACATTTACCTTTATTCACCCCAAAATGGACTCTAGATGAGAAACAGGCAATGTAGATAGATACAGAGCATGGCAGACAGTCATGCACAAACTCCTTTTTAAAAAAAAAATCAAATTCTGTTCATTACTGAATAAACCCATATAACAGAAAACGAAAGGGACTCTGGAAACCTGCCGAAGTGTTTAATGTGGTCTCAGTACGCCATGCAAAGTAACTCACATTTGAAAGTTAGCAAAACTTTTCAATTCATTTCAAGCTCATAGGTGCTGGCTAGAGAAGGCAGAAAGGTGACAGCGGATGCCTACAGAGCAGCTGTTGGGAGTTAAACATCTGCTTCTCTACAGCAGCATTTAAAACTCCTAAACTTTGTCTCACAGTGGTAATTTAACTCATAGGCAAATAATTTGCTATGTTTCCATTTATTCCATGAACAAACATGTGGAATTTACTTGAATTAACTCAGCCTTTTCCACAGATAATACAGAAAACACATGGGATATTTAAAGTTAGTGTTAGAGAATATTAATGAAAAATGCATTTTTAATTTCTAAGCAGGAATTTTGTACTGGAAACTAAGCTTTTTTTTTTCTTTTCACTACCAAGAAGACCATGTTTCTAATGCAGTAAATACATTGACAGCTCTCAGGATTTAAATGTTGCTCACTGATTCCTTGAAGTTGTGGTGGCAGGGGGATACAAATGGATCACCACTGAACAGGAAGGAGACAACAGTCTGAAGAAAGTCCAACCCAACTGCTCAGTTCACTCAGTGCAGGTCAACACTTGCCTTCTGAGTTTTAGAGCAAGAGGCTAAAGGGAACACGTTCCTGTGGATGGCTGGTCAGCAAAAGAAAAGACACATAACGTAGGAGAGACCTAGATGGCTTCCAGGCAGTGCTTCCTTATCGGAGAATAGACATGAAACTGGATCCTATGCCGTGTGCTTTGTAACACTGCAGCCCCTGAGGGAAAATTATCCCACCTAGGGGCATTTTTGTTCTAAATTACTATTGGTGATTTGTTTGGGGCTATGGAAGCAGATGGTACCATCCCTGAAGAACTGACTGGAAAATAAACACTTCCCCCTTTGCCACTGATTTAGGATTTGGCAGTGAACTCAGGACTGGTAGGTATCACAGGAATCCATGCGTAAGTTAGAAGTTTATTCAAAAGGACATGAAATTAATGGAACAACATTCTGCCATATTTTCTCTGCCTTAACACTTTTTATATTGCTATCATTTATCCAAGCCAGTGGAGAAGATAAAATAGCAAGCAGACAGCTGAGTGGCCTTTGCCACCATTAGGATGCCAGTGAATCCCCACATGCATGAATGTTAGAAAATGATCCTCTCACCTGCATTCATGGTAATGAAAAACATTATGGATATTTTGCCTTTCACTTCTATAAGATAGCTTTTTAAATATATAGATTTTAGATTATATCTTATATTAAACTACCCATTTTCATGACTAGGGAGCTCTGTTTTTAACAGACTAATTCTATTTTCCTTTAGAGATTATATTTTTAAAAGCACATAGAAGCTTTGGGAAACAAAGCTGCAATACTCTAACTGGCAAGGCCGTGCACTGTAGCATACACTGAATGCGAACAGTTTTTTACTTTTATTGACATTTCATACCTCAAATATTGACTGTTCTTTCCACATATAAATAAATTCAATGGAGATTTTATTAGAAACCTTCCCTTGGGGATTCTGACTACTACAACACATTTTCAATTCCTACTGAAACAAACCTAATTACAACATGCCCTTTGTGACTTCAAGTTCTAAATAATCAAAACACAATGTCCTTTTATAAAGATGGACTTGCATGGAGAATGCTTATAACTAAATCATTACTGGCAGAAGAAATGAAGTCCCAGAAACCACTGGGGAAATGCAGGATTTGTCTAATTCTCTTAGGTACAATATCTTTCATGAGCATTTCTCTTGACACAGTGAATGGCCTAAGAAAAAGGCAGGTGAATTGGATGGAAGATGAAAAAATCAGAGATTTCAAATTGCAAAATAATTGGCAGATACTTACAAATGATACTAATCATCTGCAGATTTTCCAGTGATAATACTGAGTAAAGAAACCCCTTGTTATTTAGATGTGAAAGTTCAGAACATTTATTACAATTAGCAAAACTACCAAACAACGACTGGAACAGCAGCAAACTCATAGCTCTTGCACTTACTGAAAAAAAAGGAAGGAAAAAAGAAATTGCATGTAATATTGCTCCATTCATTCTTGTTCCACAATATGTTCTGACATTTGTTGTTTTGCAGGAAGAGCAATGGAGAGGACAACCAGGACGGCTTTCTGGTTTTCACTGGAGTGGGATGAGCAATAAGCTGTGTGAACCTGACCACTTGGCACAGGATATATATTCTGCTCCATGCTGCAAGCAGCTGCTGCTGAATAGGCCTTAAATTGTCTCCAAATATGAAGACAAGAGTCCATTCCTACAATCATGACTGATATGAAAAGTCCTTTTGTAGTCAATAGGATCACTCACACAGATAAGAACTGCCCCGAGCCCAAAGGAGAAGAATTAATCTCTTGTTTAATGGCTTCTGTATAGAAATGTCAAGTATCAAGCTATGTTTGTAGAAGTAATTTGTCATGAAATGTCCTACTCAGGACACTTAAACAATCAGACTTGAGCTACTGTAGCGTAATATTATGTGAGTAATTACAGTGGGAAGCTGTAAAATACTTATAGTCAAAAACTTAAAAGGACAAAGACTCCCAAAACATCGGAAAAGCTGGAAAGGCTAAGGCTGCTAAACTTAAAAACAGTTATAAAAACCTTCCACATGAGAAGTACTG